GCTGAACCACCGACCTTCCAGTCGGTAGCTCAGCATCTTAACCTCTGAGCCACCACTGCCCTTAAAAATCACAGTCCTAAATAAAAATGGCATCTGAAGAACAACAATAATGGGCATACTGTTGTGTACTGACCCGGCCATGTGCGCGATCTGGTTTCGGCTGGTTCTGCCAAGTGAAGGGCCTGAGCTTCGCTCCCAAACACAATAGCCAGTCAGATCCTAGTTCCCTGCCAATCGGGAACCTAGGATCCAAGGGAATAATCTAATCACTGTAAATAGACCATTCACGAGTGTTGGGTGTATGTGGGTGTGTTTTCCTTGGGACATATAAGCCAACCTGCGAGCTGGCTACTTTGTCTTGTTCTTCTCCTAATAAAGTATGAGAGCTGAATTCACTAAGTAAGTCTCAGTACTTTTCAGTGGCGATGAAGATGGGATTCTACCTCCCATGAAGAACAACCAGCAAGAAGATCCAAGCCTTGCATTGAGACCCAGCACCAAGACTACGGCACACCGCTCCACTTCGTGCCCTGCTTCTCTGGTTCCTGCTCACCGCACCATTCCTGGCTCCGCACCTCGCACCGCTGACTCCGAGCGCAGCATCGCTTTGCCTTCGACCGCTGCTGCTGCTCCGCAGTTTCACTCACCTCCTCCACAGATCCGTAAGATGGCAGCAAGCCAGGGCACCATTCCCAAGTTCAATGCTGCCTATCCCGAAAAATGGGAAACCTGGATAGAACATCTGGAGAACCATCTCGAATGCCATGATGTCACAGACGCCAGTAAGAAAAGGGCCTGGCTATTCAGCACGTGCGGCATTGAGATGGTCTGGTTGCTGAAGGACCTGATCAGCCCACGGACCATGAAAGAGGAGACTTACAAGGTCTTGGTAAAAGCCCTGACAGACCATTTCGCTCCCAAGCCCACTAAGATTTCTGAGCGCATCACTTTCTTTGCTCGCATCCAGAATCCGGACGAGACCACAATAGATTTCTTAGCCGGGCTCCATTGGGCCGCCACCCGCTGCACATTTCCAAGCCTGGCCGACACGTTGATGAACCAGTTTGTGGTAGGCCTCTGGGAACCGAAGCTCCACAGAAAATTGGCCAGCCTTGACAACCTGATGCTCGACATGGCCTTAAAGGAGGCAGCGGCCTATGAGAAGAAACACCAAGACAACCACGGCAAAACGGTCCACCGCACAGAAGCTTCAGCAGCCTCTGCTGAGTCCGATGAGGAGGAGGTTCTGCAGGTTCATCATCCTTCACAGTGTCCAGCACGCCCAGTGGGGTCATCAGGCAACAAGATCTCCACATCTTCTACCCCCGCGCCAGCTGCGGAGAAGCGCATGAGCGCCAGTTGTGCCGTTTCCGGAATGCCATTTGCAGGACTTGCAACAAGCCGGGCCATCTCGCCAGGGTCTGCAGGTCCAAGGGACAGCGCCAGATGTCGTCGGCCCACCAGACTTCACCCGACTCTGCTTCCGATCTACACACCCTCTCGTCCCACCACCAGTGACACCTGGTATGTAACTTGCCCCCCCACAGCCCAAACAAAGTGCATGTGAAAGTGTTAAATGAGGGGTCCCCCTGCTCCATGGAGATTGACTTCGGTTTGTCTTTCTCTATCATCTCTGTCGAGACACTGTGCTTGCTCTGTCCCCGGGGGGGACCCCTCCTCCAAAAGCCACGGGGTATCAAGTTGTGGGACTTTAACAAAAACCCTGTGGCTGTCCGGGGCTGGGGCAAGTTCAAGGTGCAGTATAAGGACTTTATGGGACTATTAGATTTGCTGGTGGTGGAGGGTAGGCTTTCCAGTCTTTTGGGCCTCTCATGGTTCGAGCCTTTGGGGCTCTCTATCATGGGAATTAATCAGATCCGGATGGAGGACTTTACAGCTGTGTGCTTGGAGTTTCCCAGTGTTTTTGATGGCATGCTTGGCTGCTTCACCAGGCCCCCATGTCTCTTGAACATGACCCGGCCGGCCGCCCCATCCGGGTCAAATCCAGACCTCCCCCGATTGCCCTGCGACCAAAGATTGATTTGGAGCTCGATCGCTTGGTGGAGCAGGGAGTGCTGGAACCCATCGCCTCGGCCCAATGGGAAACCCCCATAGTCACCCCAGTTAAGCCTAATAGGGAGGTGCGCATTTGCGCCGACTATAAGTTAACTTTGAATAAGGCACTCCAAGACCATGCGTACCCTGTACCGGTGGTCAGCCATGTGCTCGCCGCACTGGCAGGGGCCCAGGTTTTGGGGAAATTGGACCTGGCGCAGGCATATCAACAGCTCCCAGTAGATACTGCCACAGTGGAGGGTCAGACCATAGCTATGCACAAGGGTGCTTTTAAGGTCCAGTTTGGGGTGTCTGTCGCACCGGGCATTTTTCAATCTTTCATGGACTCTCTGTTAAAAGGAATCTCAGAAGTGCAGCCATTTTTAGATGACGTGCTCATCGTGGCCCCGGATGCTTCGTCCTTCGCAGCCCATCTCCGGGAGGTGCTCAAGCGGTTCAACTCTGCGGGACAAAAGGTTAAAAAAGAAAAGTGCCTGCTGGGGGTGCCCCAGGTGGAGTTTCTCAGTTTCGCCGTGGACAGCACTGGCATTCACCCCACAGACGACTTGAGCAATCACCCAGGCTCCTGCTCCCACATCCAAGTCTGAGTTACAGGCTTTTCTCACACTTTTAAACTTCTATCTTTCTTTTCTTCCCCTGAAGGCTGCCATGGCAGAACTTCTGCATTGGCTGCTTGACAAGAACGCTCCTTGGGTCTGGGGGCCGGAGCACGCTGCGGCTTTCCAAAACCTCCTGGTCTCAGATTCGGTCCTTTACCATTTCGACGAAGCCCTTCCTGTAGTCCTGGCCTGTGATGCGTCCCCCTATGGGGTCGGGTCGGTCTTCGGCCATAGGCTGCTGGATGGCCGGGAGGTTCTGGTGGCTTATTATTCACAGACTTTGTCATCTGCAGAGCGTAATTATTCACAGATTGATAAGGAGGCACTTGCAATGGTGGCTGGGGTGAAGACATTTCACCATTATCTTTATGGCAGGCCTTTCACTATCCTGACCAATCACAAACTGCTTCTCAGCCTCCTGGCCCCCGATCGCCAAACCCTGCAGATGACGTCCCCCCGGGTGATCAGGTGGTCTGTTTTTTTGGCTGGGTACTCGTATGCACTTGTACACCGGCCTGGGAAGGCGATAGGCCATGTGAACACTTTAAGCCACCTCCAGCTGCCAGCTGTGGATCTGGCCCTGGCCCCGGCTCATCTCGCATTTCTCAACGCCCTCCCGGACCAACCCGTGCACATTCGGGAGGTGGCCTGCCACACCTCCAAGGACAAGATCCTCTGCCATGTCTTGGACTGAGTGAGAAGGGGGTGTCCTTGGGCTGGGGAGAGAAGGAATTTGCAGCTTTCACAACCCATAAAGACGAGCTGTTGGCCTACAAGGGCTGCTTGCTGTGGGGAGGCAGGGTGGTTATCCCAAAACCCTTGAGGGAATGGGTCCTTGCCACCCTCCATGAGACACATCCGGGGGTGGTCCGGATGAAATCCCTAGCCAGGGGCTATGTCTGGTGGCTGGGGCTGGATTGGGACATTGAGGATGTAGTAAAGAGATGCCAGCCCTGCCAGGAATCCCGCCCTGAACCCCCCAAGGTTCCCACTCGTGCGTGGGAGTCCTCACACCGGCCCTGGTCCCAGTTACACTTGGACTTTGTGGGGCCGTTCCAGGGGCAGTTGTTCTTCATCCTTGTAGATTCCTACTGTAAATGGTTGGAGGTGGTCCCGATGCCGTCCACGTCTTTGAAAGCGATGTGGTGCATCTTCAGTGCCCAGGGAATTCCAGACACTGGTCACTGACAATGGCTCAGCTTTCACCTCGAGTGAATTCCAGGACTTCACCTAATACTATGGGATCTGGCATGTAAGGTCAGTCCCTTTGCACCCCACGACCAACAGCCAGGTGGAGCGCATGGTCCACATGACCAAGGAGGCACTTTGCCGCTTGGATGGCAAAGACTGGGACTACAAACTGGCCGCTTTTTTCTTCGGGCAGCGAACGACACCACACACAATGACAGGACACAGCCCTGCCAAGCTCCTCCTTGGGAGACACCTGACCAGTCGGTTGGATAACCTGCATCCGGATCAAGCCCCGGAGGAAGAACCGGCCACAGAGTCTCCAGAAGGGGCCCACGGTTTCCCCCCCAAAGACCCAGTATATGCCCAAAACTTCACCCGGGGTCCAGCATGGATTCCAGCCTGGTGGTAAGGGTCAAGGGTCCCCATTCCTACAAGGTCTTCAGTGAGGACGGACAATTGCTCCATCACCACATCAACCAGCTATGTCGACGGGTGCTACCCTACGACCCTGAGGAATTGAAGGAACCCGATCACCCAGAGGCAAGGGTTTTATCCCCACCAGAGGCCCCGGTTTCCCTCGAGATTGCACCCAGACAAGCACCAACACTTCCAGCACCAGAATACACTGCCGTACTCCAAGGGGCAGAGCTGCCGGCACCACAGTCACTGGCACCGGTCACCGCTCAACTGGCTCCAGCAACACCGGCCCCAGGGACTACGGAACGTTGAGAATGTAGAGTACCAACATACTTAAATGACTATGTTTGCCAGTGTGCTCTGGACTATGGGGGAAGGGGTGTTGTGTACTGACCCGGCCATGTGCGCGATCCGGTTTCAGCTGGTTCTGCATGTGGCCAAACGAAGGGCCTGAGCTTCGCTCCTAAACACAATAGCCGGTCGGATCCTAGTTTCCTGCCAATCGGGATCCAAGGGAATCATCTAATCACTGTAAATAGACCATTCACGAGTGTTGGGTGTATGTGGATGTGTTTTCCTTGGGACATATAAGCCGGCCTGCGAGCCGGCTACTTTGTCTTGTTTTTCTCCTAATAAAGTATGAGAGCTGAATTCACTAAGTAAGTCTCAGTACTTTTCACATACCTCCCTGGGAAGGTTGTTTCATAATTGTGGGGCTGCCACAGAAAAGGCTCTTTCTCATGTACCCACCAAACAAGTATCTTTAATTGGTGGAACAGTCAGGAGGACATCTCCTCACAGTCTTAATTCCTCAGCAGGAGAAGACGGTCCTCTGAATACCCTGGTCCCAAGCCATGTAGGGCTTTAAAGGACAAAGCCTATAACTTTAATTTGTGCTCAGAAGTAGAACGGTAGCCAGTGTAATTGCTGTAGTATTGGTTACATAGGACCCCAATAGCTGGCTGCGACCAGCAGTTTAGTGCATTCTGCACTAGCTGCAGCTTCCAAATGCTTTTCAAAGGTAGCCCCAACTAGAGTACAGTTTAATAGTCCGGTCTAGATGTAACTAAGGCATGGATCACTGTGGTTTAGATCTGACTGCCCCAGGATCGGACACAGTTGACACATTAGCTAGAGCTGGGCAAATGAACTCCAAGCCACAGCAGCCACCCAGTTTTCTAAGTTGACTGCTATATCAAGCAGCACTCCTAAGCTGAGATGGGGGAGGAGTCTCTAGTCTGTCTTTCTATTAACTCCGAGAACCTCTGTTGAAAAGTACTAAGACTTACTAGTGATTTCAGCTCTCATACTTTATTTCAGCTCAAAACAAGACGAGAGTAACCAGCTCGCAGGCTGGTTTATATGTGCACAACCCCGCACCCTAAACACATCCACACACCAGTGATTGGCTATTTACAGTGGCTGAGAGTTCCATAGGCTCTAGGCCGGGAGCCTAGCCTGCCGATAGGTGCCAACTAGGATCCACTTGTCCCATTGTTACTGTGAGCGAAGCTCAGTCGCTTCGCATGACCGCATGGTGAAATGGCCGCGCACACGGTCTGAGATGGATACATTACATCTGGATGAGGGTTAACAAGCTTCAGCTTGTTAACCCTCATCCAGCCCATCACTGACTCTAAGCACTGTTTTTTTTAAAAAAGCGGCATCCTCAGAATTAGGTAGAAAAGAAAGGTAGAGCTAGGTACTGTCCACATTTTAGTGACATTGCAGCCTGTACCTCCTGATAACCTCTCCCAGCAGCTTCATGTAGATATGAAATAGCACAGGGAATAAGACTGAACCATAGAGGTCAACAGCCTACAGGTCAACAGTCAGGGGGCAGAGCAACACTACCTTCTGAGACATCCCACCAGATAGGACTCGAACCACCTTAACATGGTGTCCCTTAGTCCCAGTGCTGAGAGGTGGCTAAGAAGGATATTATGGTCAATGTTACCAGAAGCAGGTGAGGGATCCAGCAAAACTAGCAGGTCACATTCCCCCAGTCTAGTTCTCAACAGAGGTCATCAGTCAAGGTGACCAAAGGAGTCTCTGTTCTAAACCCTGGCCTGAAGCCAGATTTAAATGAGTCAGATAATCAGTCTTTTCTAAGAAGCACTGGAGCTGACACAACTTGCTCTAGCACCTTGCCCAAGAATGGAAGATTGGAGACTAGCCAGACATTTTCTAACCTAGCACCTATCAGGGACAGTTTTTCAAAACAGGTGTAATCACTGCCTCCTTGAGCATGGGCAGCACAACTCCCACTCTCAACTCCCACTACCTCAGCATTTACCCACTCTTCTTACCCACTCAGTCAGTTCCCCTCTGACAGCTTTTCTTAGCCAGGAAGGGCAAGGATCAAGAGCACAGGTGGTAGGTTTCGCCTGTCCAAGGATCTTGTCCACATCTTTGGAATCCACAAGCTGAAAAGTATCCATATATATCAAACAAGCAGATGCCAAAGGTACATCATCTGGACATGCAACCACCCCAGAGCAGATCTGTGCAATTTTATCTTCAAAACAGGTAGCAAATTCATCACAGCAGGCTGTTGTGTGGTCAGAGTCCAGATCCTTGGAGCTATGATGAAAATGTCCTTGAACCACTTGAAACAGCTCAGCCAGATGATTACGCGCAGATGCAATGGTGGCAAACAAATATTGCTTTTTCACCATCTTGACTGCCACAGAATAGGTTTTAATATCGGGTCTATGCTGTGTTTGATCAGTCTCACTTTGAGTTTTCTACCAGCAGTGGAAGCCATTGTCCTTGTTTCTTTGCCATTAGCTCCCCAGTGAACAAGGGAGTGTTTGGCTCCATTCAGGGGAAGAGGGTTCTTAGAGACAATTGTGTCAAACAACCCAGATCATCTCCCTATTCCAGGGAGCGGTCAGAAACTTGACAGAATTAGAATCATAGAATCACAGAGTTGGAAGGTGCCATACAGGCCATCTAGTCCAACCCCGTGCTCAATGCAGGATTAGCCTAAAGCATCCCTGATGAGTGTTTTTCCAGTCACTGCTTAAAGACTGTCAGTGAGGAGGAGCTCATCACACCCCTAAGTTCCACTGGAGCACAACTCTTACTGTAATTTCCCCCCTAATATTTAGCTGATACCTTCTTGCCCTTAATTTAAACCAATTATTATGAGTCCTCTGCTGCCAATAGAACAGCTCCTGCCCTCCTCTAAGTGACAGCCCTTAAAATATTTAAAGAGAGCAATCATGCTCCCCCTCAGCCTCCTCTTCTCCAGACTGAACATTCCCAAGTCCCTCAGCCTTGGGCTTGGTCTCCAGGCCCCTGATCATCCTCTATTCTGTCCACATCCTTTTTGAAGTGAGGCCTCCAGAACTGAGGCCTGACCAATGCAGTGTACAGCAGGACTATGACATCTTGCAATTTGGATGTTATGCCTCTTTTGATACACCCCAAGATCGCATTAGCCTTTTTTTTTTGCCGCTGCATCACACCTGCTGCTCATATTTAATTTAATTACCACTCATACCTCAAGATCTTGTTCACACACATAGCTACCCAGAAGTGTATCCCCCATCCAGTATGTGTGTTCCTCATTTTTGTTACCCAGTTGTAGAACTCGGCACTTATCCTTGTTAAATTGCATCTTGTTCACATCCACCTACTTTTCCAGTGTGTTCTGATCTTGTTGAATTCTCTATATTCTGGTGTCATCAGCAAGTTTAATTAGTAGCCCCTCCACACCCTCATCCAGATCATTTATTAAAATATTGGAAAGTACCAGGCCCAGAACTGAGCCCAGAACTGGACACCCCCCTCCATTCCAATGAAATGCCATTGACAACTACTCTCTGAGTGTGGTTCTCCAACCAGTTCCCTATCCACCAAACTATCATAGAGTCCAGTCCTCAGAACTTTAGTTTACCCATCAGAACATCATGAGGAACCCTGTCAAAAGCTTTACTGAAATCCAGGTAAACAACATCAGCAGCATTCCTTCAATCCAGTAAGCTCGTCACTCAATCAAAGAAGGAAACAAGGCTGGTCTGGCACGACCTGTTGGGGACAAATCCATGCTGACTTCCCCAGATCACCAAGTTGTCCTTTAGATTCCTGTTGATTGATCCCTTTAAAATCTGTTCCAGTATCTTCCCTGGGACAGAGGTCAGACTGACTGGCCTGTACTTTCCTGGGTCATCCCTCCTCCCTTTTTGGAAAATTGGGATAACATCTGCCCTCCTCCAGCCATCCTCCAAGAGGTCTGGAAGATGATACTCTGCAGCCAAGGTGGGAAAATCCCCAAGCACCCACAGGAACCTATCAGGATCTGTCATGCGCCTGAGGCAGACCATCTTATTGGGCTCAGCACCCCTGTGGAGGAAAGAGGGAGCAGTAAGTCTGAACTCTATCAGGTAATGATCTACCTATGACAAGCTTTAACTCCCCTGTCTCCTGATCACTCTCCCCAGCAGTGTAATAGAGTGTGTGCCCTGCTAATAGCTGTGCCTTTTGAACCACAAGTTGTCACTGTACCTCTGTTTACAAGGATTCCCACTTGCCTCACATGAGAGGGCTCTTCACCAACAATGGAGAGGATAGTCACTGTTTTGGAACAAATGAATGGAACAAATCAAGCCATTTTTATTTTATGTAGTCCATGATAAAGAAGCAATAACATACCTCAATTGACCCCTGCTTAATTAATTAGGAATATGTTTGATTCACAATCACACTTGTTCCACAGTGGGAAATTTTAAGATGTTCCCCCACACATGGACCAAACTACATAGGAGGCACTTTCTTCTTGTGCTGTACCACTTAGCTGCAATGTGCAAGAATGCAAACCATGTGGGTAGCAGTAGAAAAGAGTAAGAGTCCTGCAGCACCTTAAAGATGTAAAAAAATTGTGGTAAGGTGTGAACTTTTGTGAGTCACTGCTGCTCACTTCTTCAGGTATGGATAGATATCTTTGGATAGATGCCATCCTGCTCAGATATGTTTTATGTTGT